AAAAAAAAAAAAAAAAAAAAAAAGAAATCTGAGATACATCAAGTTTTATTTAAAAAAAAAAACTATGAGAACAATGTTTATTTTTTCACTGCTTTATTGTAAAAAGGTGTAAAGTATAGTAAACAATGAATAATGACATCATATAGATGATGCGTGTCTTTTTCACGTTTATTATAGATTTTAAAGTATTTCAATTAAATTTAGCTAAATTTCTTTTGATCAAAAAAAAGTTAATTAATTAATAATAAAGGTTAAATCTATAATTCCCAGATGATTGCTCTTCATTAAAAGCTATGATTGATGATGATCGGTTGATTTATTTTTGCTTAAGTAGCAAGCAAAAAGAATGAATACAAAAATTTGCTTTAATGAAGGAAAATATATTTAATTTACATCAACTATAAATTAAACTCATTTTGTAATTAAATTAAATCAAAATTTGATTATTTAACAAGTACTCATAAAAATCTAATCTTATAATTTATCAACAGGATATCATACAATATATTAACTATTTACACTTTATCTTATCTTAATCAGCTAACAAAAACTTTACAATATTCTAAACTCAATGCATTAATTGTTAAAAAACAAAACAAAAAATTGTAAAAACGTTCATTTAATAATTAATTTGATTTACTTTAGCTATTATTTTTATTTTATTTTTTACAAATTAGAATTAGCCTTTGGATGAGATCATAGGGATTAAATCAAACACTTATAGCAATTATTTATTCTTCTTCATAATCGTTAATTTTGATCATTATATTACAATGAATTAATTTCATTTATACCACCCATTAAAAAGCTTTAATTATTGACTTCCAGCAAGTCGTTAACTTTCACTTATATTATCATTTTGTCTTCTACTTTCTCACTGCATTATCACCACAAATTTTTTCGACTAATCAGTGTTAAGTTATTAGTTCTATTTTAATACATCAATTATCTTACAACAACTTATATAATTGATGCAATCAGTTAGTCAAAGAATAACTTTGTTACAACAATTTAGATCAAAATATTACTTTCTATGCATTTAATGCAATGCCAAAAGAAATAAACTACAAACAATAGCATTTATTTATTTTAATTTTTTGTGCAAACTTTGTTGATTGAATATACTTATTATTGCAAATAATTAATGAAGTGTGGTCAAGAAAAAAAGACCAAAATTAGTTAACAGTAGAGCACTTTATATTTCCAACTTTAAGGTGCAACTTATAACTTTTATAAAAAGTAGTAGAAAAAAAAATTAATGATAATTGTTTTTTAATATTAATAAATATCAATTCTGTGTGATCTTATTTAATTCACAATTTTACTCTTTTAAATCATGTCTCTTATTACTGATAATGATATTGACAAGGAAAAAAAAAGTCTTAATTATATAATTTAATATTGATTCAAACAAACACAAATTACATTCTATAGAACATAATAATTAACCTCAAACGCAGAAGTAAAATTTTAGCGTTATAAAGCTCTGAACATTTAATTCATATAGTGAGTACAGAATTTCACGAATACGATGATTAAATTATTAAGCATAACATTTGAATTAATTGATAGTCAAATTGTTTTTTATAGATTTTTTAATAAAATACTTTAAAATTATTGACTTAATCAGTAATTATGAATTGTGTTTAAATAATTTTGTAAAACTTTTAGTGCTATCTGTAAAGCTTGCAATGCTATTTAATGTGCAATTTTTTTTGCAATGAATTTACTTGCTTTAGACATTTTTAAAATTTTTGATGATTTACGTAATTATTATGTATATAAAGTGATTTTATTCTCCATGCAAAAAAGCAAATGAAAAGATTAGATAAATAATTTTTACTGACATTTTATAAAGTCGAAGTAATATTCATTTTCTGCAATTTTTTAGTACTTGTATTTTGTTGCAGTAATCAAAATTAATAAAATATGAGAGAAATTTAATGAAGTTTATTAATCTTTTTCTTTTTTTTTTTTGCATTTATTACTACGACATTACATCATGCAATTTTATTTGTAATTTTTTTTTGCTCTAACTTTTCCAGGAAAGCTTGTGGTGATAGCAACTATTCTCTACTTGGACCATGGTAATCAAGCGCACATTTGTCAATATTTAAGGTGAATGCATTTTAAAATCAAGCAGCTGAAACAAATATGATGTATTCAAAGGAAAGATTTTTCAATTTGAATAATGATTCTTTGTCAAAATATTAAGTACAGCATATTTCTTGTTGTGCAGGTTTGTCAATTCAAGACGTAATAATTTCTCTCAAATCTGTTCACGTTTTCATCAAAAACTAGGTAATTTTTATTTATATTTATTTGTAATATTTAAAGATATGCATGCTTAATCATGTTATTACTTTATTGATAAAACAGTTATATAAATAATTGTAATTTTATTTTTGTATCATAATATAATTTAGAAATAATTGTAGAATATAAATTGAAAGAATAACTATTTTTAATAAGTTGGCAGTGAAATATTTGAAAAATTGAGAACATACAAGTATAATAAGTAATTGCAAGTAAATGCTATTAGAGACATCAAAATTTAATAATTTGGAAGTTTGTATGCATTTATAATGAAATGAAAATAATAGTGAATTATAATTTAATAATTTATTACTGTCACCATTAGATACAAATTTAATCATTTTTCATCTGCTGACAACCTTTGAAAAATTAATCACTTTTGTATTATCAGATTATTCATTACTTCAATTAATCGACAAGATTGCAAGATTAATCTTAAGTGTTAAAAAAAAATACAAAAATAAATTGCGCAAAATCTGATGTTTTTTAATAATTTTAGTAATTTATAACAGTTTTAGCGAGTTTATTCACATATTATTAAGCCAAGTAAGCATGAAATTAAATGTCATTAATTTTACTCTTTATTAAATACGCTTTATAAATTGAATAAAAATTTTCATAATCAGAAACTTTTTATGATATGATAAAAAATTGATTCAAGTTCAGAAACAACAGCAATACTTTTCTTTCTTACTGCAAATTTTTGCATTAAACTGATGTCTGATATAGATTTTAATTAATGTCTAAAATATATTTTTAATTAAATTCTGCTATCTTGAAAATACCATTTTTTATGACAAAATTATTCTGTGTTTGGCAAAAATTTTTGCAGTATTCTTTTAAAATTAATTATTTTTTTGGTATATTTGTCAAATAATTATTAACTTATAAATGAGTAATTTTTATTGAAAAAAAGCAGCATAGTAAAGCATACGACTTGATTGCATTACATATAACAAATGACAAGAGATGTTTTGTGTTTTCTGCTCAAAAAATTACAACAAGTCTTCTGAATAATACAGTAGCTATTTTATGAACCCAAATTGTTTTGTAAAGTATTAATAAGTAAAGTACTCTGAATCATTATTACTTGGTACAGCTTTTTAAATTTTGTATTTTCTGAGCAAAAAAATTAACTTCATTAAAGAATTTAATTACTGCTTAATATAATGGCAACTTTATGCATGTGCTAACAATTTTCTGAAAAGTTTCAAATTTTGACTAAATAATAAAATTAAATTTCAAATAATTTTCAAATAGTATTTGTTTATTAATTGTTTATAGATGCCCAACAGTAGTGATTATGATTCTTGTGATGAATGGCGAGTAATTTTCAATCGAATTGATTCTTATTTTAGAGATGATATTGTTCTTGAAGGTACAAAACATGCCTCTACTCAGGTATTAACAATTGTCTACATTTTTCGTGCAGAAATTTTGAATTTTTAAATACGTTTTCTACTTTAATTTTGTTTTAAATCATTAAACCATTTGAAAAAAAATCATATTTAAATAAATTATATACAATTACAATTTTTGCTCTGTTGCTTCAAAAAATTTATTAACTTTTTAATAAAAATAATTTGTTTTATCTTAAAAACTTAAAAACTTTTAAATAGCTACTAATTAGCAATAGCAATTATGCTTTTTATAGCATTTTATAAATTTTGCAGTTTTTTTTTTTTATTTTCAGATTTTAATCATGCGATTGCTTTGCTAGGATATTTTGAATTTTTTGATCTATAAACTCATTAAATTAATATAATAAAACTTAAGAATTGCATTTTTCCTTCACATTTGGGAAAAAACCATCCATTAAGTGAGTGTAATAAAAGACAAATGCAAAGGGTAATAAAAGAAAATTGTATGGAATTAAGCAAGTAGATGAACAAATGTAATGCATTAATTTGAAAAGATTAATATAATTTTCATAAGGGCGGGATCTGCTAGTATTATTTGAAACTTATTTTTCTTTTAAATTTTAATGCATTGCAATTTTTAGAAATATCGTACTTTTGAATATAAAGAAATTTTTTTATGATAAGAAATGAATAATATTAAGGCATACTTTGATCACAGTGCAAACAAAAAATTGATATTAAAAATATTCAAAAAAAAAGTTTTTTTTAATTAATAACATAAATTTAAGCTGTATCTACTTTTCAATTTGCAATATGTAGATCCTTTTAATTATATTTCATTACTTTAGCAAATTATGTTATTATTGCTCTTAGATATACACATTTACTGCTATTAATAAGATATTGTCACTCATATGCTCTGCGCAACAAATGTTTTGTGCCAAATAATTATGCTTGCATAAAATAAAAAATTGTTATTTCAAACTCATTCAAATATAATTTTTAATATTTATCACATATTTAAACACAAATGATAATAAATTGTATAATAAGTCAGTTTTCTAAACTTGCGTCAAAAAATACTTGCAGCTTGGATGGTGTATCACAATAGCTTACGTAATCGTAATATTTTTTGGTGCATTTGGAAACATGCTTACTATTGCCGCAGTCATTTATAATCCACAAATTAGGACAACAAGGAATTTTTTCATTCTGAATCTTGCTTTTTCAGATTTCTTTAACTGTATTATTGCAGCTCCAATAACGCTTTATACAGTTCGTTAATTTTCGCACTGCTTATTTTCATTCATCAGATTTTTTTTTACTTTATACGAAATATTTTGGCAATAATCAACCAAAAAGCTATGAAACGATACTTTTTACATTATCATACATTTAATAATAAACTGAAAGACCAAAGAAAATGTCGTACATAGAACAGTATCATACTTACATGATATTATTATTACTTAAATTTGCTTTTAATTTATTTTATTCCTTCAACACAATTAAAGCAATAAAATAATATGAATTCTTCAGGTATTATATACATTTTGGCCATTTGGCTTAACAATGTGCAAAATAGCCGGTTCTTTACTTGGTTTTGGCATATTTTTGTCAACTTTTTCCATTGCAGCCATTGCTCTTGATCGGTAATTCACTTATCCTATACTTGATAAGCCAAATGCTTTACTTATCGTACTACAGAAAATAATCTAACAAAAATAAAAACTCGTAGTTCCGAAAATATTTTCTAAAATGAAAAAAAAAACACGGTGTATTTTAATTTTTTATCAAATAAGCGCAAAATAGCAATATTTTGAATCAATTACATTTTAGGTTTGTAGTAATTACGTTTCCAACAAAGCGAAAACGTCAGCATAATTTAGCTTTACTATTGTTTTTTTTAATATGGGTCATATCAATAGCACTGGCATTACCGTTGCTGATAACATCAGACTTGAATACGGTATTTGATGATGAACATTGTGGTATGTCACTGAGGATATGTCAGGAAAAGAATGAGATTTGGAATGAAGTTTGTTGTTTTTATTTCTAAAAATTGATCTTTTTATAAATTAATAAATTAATCAAATTGAAAATTAATACAAAATGGTAATTTACGAATATTCAAAACTCTATCATGCAAAAACAACCAATTTATAAGTATAACTATGAATATTGACTGATTTTGTACCAAATAAACCAGTAAAAAAAATATGAATCAAGAATTATAAAGATGAAAAAGTTATTACTCAGCTTACAGCATTACTTAAGCATAATAAGAGTCAAAGATGAAAAGGTACATTTTATTACAACAAAAAATGAAAAGAATGGTCACTTAAAACATCATAAATTCTTTATTTAAAAAAAAAAATTTAGCATCAACTTATGAATTGCATAAATGTTGTAAAAATGAACAATTTCAGATGCCAATAAGTAAGCGCGGTTACACTCTAGCAGTACTCGTGACACAATATGCCCTTCCATTAATATCCATTGTATTTGCTTATAGTAGCATTGCCGTAAGGATGCAAATTAGAATAAATAGTCGTCTAGCTTCAGCTAACTTCTCTACAAATCCTGTCATCGATGAAAGGCGAAAGTAATATTTCTTCACAATTTGCAAGCAATCAAACAATTGAACATATAGTATGACATTAGATAACTGAAAGCTTGAAAAGAATCTTTTCAAAAGAACCTTCAAGTCCTTTACTAATAAACAAATAAAACTTAACCATGCTTTTCATTTTGTATTTGATACCAATTTATATGCTTTCAGTGGGTAATTTTTTGAAAAGCACCTTATGGTGGGTTACTTTAATATTGCAATTAATTTACTAATTATGACAAAATGAAATAGTTATTGACTAAAATTCAAGTAATAACTATGTGGTGAATTACTCTGCTTCGTTTATGCGTAAAAATCAGAAAGTGTCAAGTGTAGCAAACAAATATATGTCAAATGAAAAATCACAGATTAATAATTAATAATTTAAAAAGTGTACGTAGTGATTGTTAATGTTAAAACTAGCTACACGTAAGTAAACGAAAAAAAATTTTTTTTTTTCGTTATAAAAAAAGAATTTTATTTGGTGCTTTGTTATTGAGAAGGTAGATCAAAGTTATTCAAAAATATTCAGGTCGATGGCAGGGCGACAAAGACGTACACATTTGCTGCTCATGTCCGTGGTAATTGTTTTTGCGGTTGCTTGGTTACCGCTGAACATTTTCCACGTTCTCAACACATTTGGAATCGTGAACTTTTCCGTGCCCTTATTTGCGTTGTGCCACTTGATAGCTATGGGTTCTGCATGCTTGAATCCTGTCTCGTATACATTCTTCAATCACAATTTCCGGCAACAGTTTGTAGTGTTTTATCAAGCTTTATTAAAGTAATCATTTTCAATTTATTAGCCACTGAGCAGTGAATGAGTATGTCATTCAGTAATTATTATTTTACATATTATTATTGACTTAATTATTATCAATTAATTTTTATTACGTTTCATTTCAACATCATGAAAATCGCAATTCTGTATCATTAATATTAACAAATTAAATCATAAATGAAGCTTTCAATTTGTTAACAATGAAATTGCTTTTTTTTTGATAATCAAATTTATAAATTTCGCATTTCTATAACTGTAGCACTTTATTGAATGAATATTACTTCTGATGCTCAGAGGGATTATGCAGTCATCTAACTGGTTAATATCTGCTTGCTATAACAAACGTGATCGAATCAAATATAATCGAACAACAAGAGATACAACTGTAATGCACCACACGCAAATGTCAACGACTATCAATGCGCACTTTATCGGAAATAATGATGGTAATAAGTATGGCAAAAAAACACGTCAATGTCATTGATAATTTATTATATCTAAAATTTTGAGTGATCTATGTCATTGTTGTCTAGTTGGTAATACAATCAATAAATTATTAAGCACTCACTTCCAAGTACTTGAGCCAATTCCTTCTTCATAACATGCTCTTTTAGTAATTACGAATAACTTGAATAGAAGCTTTCAATTCCTTTTCTAATCCTTAAGAAAGTAACGCATGCTTGAACTATACTACCCAAACAGAAGCATACTTCAAAGTCATTGTATTGGCTACTCTTAACAACAATGCAAACGAATGAAACCTATTCCCATCAGTAATAATCACATATACACACTTGTTGCATTCAATTTATAACCTTCTTTGGTCGGTCACTTATATATTTGAAAAGATAATGAAAATAGTCTACTTATTAGGGTGTCATTTCAAGCATATGATATGCGCTATGCTCATTTGCATAACAATTCAGGTTGTATCATCATTTTTTAAGCAAAGAACAATTGTTGTGCCATCAAGTTATACTCTTGTGTGCTTTTTATATTATTCAAGTTTACTATATGTGGATTAATTTGCCATCAAATTGTTACATTCCACTTTTTTCGATATTATAATAGCCAGACTGATAATTGTCTTCATATAATTTCTACAATTTATTAAAATTAAATACACAATAATCAGACGATATTAATGGCTGCTTATACAAAACAAAAATAACATGTATGCTATGAAAAAGCATCAATTATTAGTGTAAAAAACTACAGAAGAGAGCAAAAGAATATGATTGTTTCAAGTGAATTGTAAAAAAAAAATAAAAATTCAAAAGTTATCGAATTGGAGAATCATTTTAAAAGGAAGAAATATTCACTACAGCTACAGTGCTATCTTTCTTGACTCAAGTCAGCAATTTTTTCTACAAATGACTGTGCACTGATTCAAGCAACAAATATGGATATGAATAATATGTATAGATGATGATGATGTTGATGCTACTTGTTAACATCAAGCGAAAATGAAATGTGAAATGGATTGGAACTGGAAATGAATACATAATATTAGCAGCAATAAATGAATTTGAAAGCAATATTTATTAAATAATAAATATTGTATTACAACTCACTCAGAACAAATGCAATTTTGATTTCAAGTACATGCTTAAGCAAAGAAGTACAATACTTGTTGTTTCTTAGTGAAAAAGCCTTCTAAGGATAATACTGCTTTCCATAATTACACTTTAATATCTCATAATTTGATAATGAGTAAATATTGCAAATTATTATTCGATTTGAAATTACCAAACAAACTTCTCTACAGTCTATTATACTAAAATACTATTGTAAAAATTATTCAATTTTAAATACTATATGAATTTTTGCAAATATTAATATTGTAATAGTGTAGTGTTTAATCTGATTATTCATGCATACGCTTCAAAATAACAATCTTATTTGAAAAAATAAGCAGAGTGAAAGACAAAAAAGGATAGATCACGCAAAGATGAAAACATGAAGAAAAGTGATCAGACAATGACAATTAATCAAAATTAATATTATTTTACTTTCATAACAAAACGATGTAAAATTTTTGATGAATAGTTTAGTGAGTTAAAATTGGCAAATGATTCCAACTTACTTTCACAGCAATCGCTTAAGCAATCAGAAACCTTCCCAATACATTCTTCCCTTCCACGCTACAATCAAAACAAGTTGCAAGTTGCAAGTTGCAAGTTGCAAGTTGGAGTTACAATTAAAACTTCAATATAAAATAATACATCACGCACAATTCTACCAAATATAGTAGCAATTTAGCGATATTAGCGATTTGTATACTATCGCAACTAACTAATTCAAACTTACAATATATCATTTTATATTTTCATATTTAAAAAAATTGTCGCATTTAAAATTTCATAATTTAATTAGTCATCATGCATTACTCATCTGACAACCTAACTGCAACATTTTTCTTCATAATAAATAATCGATCATTCTGTGTTTCACATTGCATCCTTGTTGCGTATTTTCCTAGAGACTGCTTTTCACGATGTTCAAAATTGCGGCCGTTAAAATAAATGCATTGCATGTGGCATATTAGTAATTCACTTGCTAACATGTAAAGTTTGAGATTAGCAGATTTTACATTGTATTTTCATGATTTTATTGTTGTGAACTGTTTGTAGTGAATGGATTTATACTCGTGAATGAATGGTTATTGTCATAATATTTAGGATAAACAAGTGAAGGTAGCTGTGTTGCGTTATCATTAAATCTTTCGAAACTCGAAGTGTTGTCTTTTTTTAGTTCTGGTCTTGTTGTTGGTCTAAGATAAATACGGATCCTGCTGCGAAGTTGAAACAAGTTTTATCTTTTTGTTATGATATTCCT